CTCTCTCTCTCTCTCTCTCTCTCTCTCTCTCTCTCTCTCTCTCTCTCTCTCTCTCTCTCTCTCTCTCTCTCTCTCTCTCTCTGTGTGTGTCCGCGCGCGCTGTGTGAGTATGTGTGTGTGACATAAACACAAATCAACAAAACATGGCATAAGCTGCTCGTCCGGAGCACCAGCGATATTCTTGGGGGAGATAGAAAATAATGGCACGCACACAAGCAGGAGGAGGAAGCAGCCGGAGCGTAAAATCTGAAGATTTTCGCGCGGAAAGGTCAGCACGGGGAAAAGTCACCATAGACCGCCATGGAAAAGAGAATGGGTAACGCAGGTAAAGACGGGTATTGTGACAGGATGTCGAAAGATGGAGAGTCGGAGGTCAAAGGAAGGAGGAGGAGGAGGAGGAGGAAGGATACAATCGCGGCCTACCTCTTCGGGCGAGGATGTTCACCGACCCTCCGACGAGAAAAAAAATAAGACTTTTGGCGGCTTCCAGCATCAACACTGAGCAGCACACTGCTCATGCTTCTCCGAGGCCTCTCTCTCTCTCTCTCTCTCTCTCTCACACACACACACACACACACTACGAGGATGAAATGTCTCCCTTCACCCCTGACTTGTCCCAAATTAGGGGCTCGGGGCACCACTTGCCAAACCACCAACGTTTGGAACGTATCCGGACCAAGACAGAACCAGATACGTTCAAAATGATGGCATTGGACTAGTTGTGTGGCAAGGCCCTTATTTTTTGCCACTCGAATGTGCTGTCACTCTTCACCAGGTGCTGTTCCGGCGAGTTTTCCCAGGCGTTAGAAGTGTGAGCTGTAAGGGCCTCGCCACACCACAGTCGAAAGGCCAAAAAATCCGACTGCAGGCACGTGTGAAAGCAAGATGGAAAAAGACGAACGCGCCTGAGGGTACGACAAGCATTAGTCCATCCCGACCTGACCCCCACTCACCAAATTTCGAAGCGAAGTCGATGGCGCAGCGGAGGAGTGTCGAAAGCATCGGAGTAGCAGGCTGGGGATTCAACAACTTTCGACAGGAGGTGTCGAGAAGCATTCTCTGACAACTGGCGAATTTTCTTCCAGTCTCCGCCTGTGTGGCGAAGAGAAACTGTCGAAAATCGCATTCTCGACAGTGTTGCAGCGAGGCCCTGAAGGCTCAGGAGCTATTCGTTGATTTGGAGTTTTGAAGAAACAAAAAACAGGCCCGCTCGAATGTGCTATTCATTGATTTGGGGTTTTGAAGAAAGCAAAAAACTTGTGGCAACCGTTTCTGTGCTGTGTTCGACCTTGTGGCAGATTATCTTCGCGGGTTGGAAGAAGCATGTGGCAAACACTGGTTCTCTTCTTCATGGGATACGTTGGATAGGCTGCTGCTGCTGCTGCTGCTGCTGCTCTGGTGACGATTGACGGAACAATTGCTGATATTCGCTTCGGGTCCTTTCTTAGAAATGTGAGGCTGGAAAACGCAGCGTGGGGAGCAATGGATCTAGGGGCTTGGGCTTTGTGGATCACCGGTTTCGTGTTTGCTGATTGGTCTTTGTGTGGCCTGTTTTTTTACTTTTTCTGAGGGCATACTCACACGGGGACCTATAATCCCAAAATCCCAAAAAAAAAGAGGCCAGACGGAGGAGCGGCCGAAGCGCCTCGGACCGTCGTCGTCGTTATCGACGGTGCTGCCCAGCCACGTCCTCCGCCGTCAAGACGGAGAGTGGGGGTGTTTTGGCGTTTGGTCGCATGGGCAGTCCTGTAGGGTAGAGTAGGGTAGGCTGCTCCCGGTTTCCGATGCATGAGTCGGAACGGACCAGGAATTAGTGGTCTAGGTGCATCTTCCTCGGTTTAGCACGGCGCGATAACCTAGGAGAATTATCTACCCTATCTCTGAAATTAGTGGGGGAACAGAAGGTCTTCATAGCTGCCGCCCTAGAGCGAAGATGATGGCAAACCAAATGGCAAACGGGAGTTATATTCCCCCGACTCCATTGGCGACGGCAAGGACCGAGGAAAGACTAAGAGAATCCGTGGGCAGATGCTACATGCAAGGAGTTTGTCCGGATGATGCTTCGTTGGGAGAAGTTATTGAGGATGCAGAGGGGAAACGCTTCGTGGTCAACGGTCAAGTCAACGCAGTTAAGGAAGCATCGTTGAAGGACCACACAGTCATAGTCACGTTCCAAGGAGGAGCAAGGCAGTTGTCAAGGCAAGTGAAGGAAGACTTGATTAGGGCATACGAAGATGGGTGGTTCGTGAGAAGACTTCTTGGCCCAGATGCAAAGCGAGGGAGGCTGAAGTTTGAAGGAGCAACTGTGGCTTCGTATGTTGCTAGGTCGGAGCAAATTGCCACCAAGCTTCTCCAACAAAAAGAATTAAAGATCAAGCTTCAAGATGCTGCGGAGTACGTGGTCACATTTAAACCTTGGCTCCCCTTGCAGGAACTGAAAGCAATGAAATTACAAGAAGCTGAGATGAAATTATGGATAACGGCACTACGGGTCCAGCTGGATGCCTATTATTATTTGTGGAGTGCGGTCCAAGGAATGTTTGGGGACGTGCTTCTGATGCATCCTCCAGAATACGATAGCTCGAGGCCGAAACTAATGAATGTGAAGTTTGACATGTCGCCCGAGGTCAGAGAGAGAGTTGATGACGTGTTGACCATCGAGTCGCCTTCCGAGGAGAGATGGAGTGTGGAGATCGCTACCCCGTATACGGATTGGTGCAGAAGGTGCAAATGGTACTTCCACACGAAAGTCAATTGCCCTAGAATCCGTCAAGGAGAGGAAAGAGGCGGAAGTCAGAAAGCTAGACCCGGGGGTCACAATGTGAGGTTCACACAGCATCAACAGAGACAAGAGAGATAAGAGAGGCAGGCGGGATCCCATGCAGCGCACATGGGCGAAGTGTAGCGGACCTCGGGTTGGCCTGTGAGACCAGCCCCTTGGCCTGTTCTCACAGGCCTGTGTTACATTCGGGGTAGGCCAGTCCAGGCCGGTACCTCTGTCGGTACCAGCCAGTCCAGTCCAGTCCCGTCAGTCCGCTGGGGTATACCCCAGCCATTGTCTGTTTTCAGGCTCATTCCTCACTTGCACATTTTG